CTCGGCTTGGCGAACGGCATTCCTCTTACAGAGGCGTGAGAGGGCAGGGAGTGCAGTACCCGAACATAGCCGGACAAAAGGGACGTGCGTCACTAATCCAGAAGGAGGCACGTGAACCAGACGACATGTGATTGCGGCCGTTATAAAAGTATTTGAAGGATTCGGTGTCGCCGACAAGCGATGAGAAGACTCAGACACGGCGGTGCGAAAGACCGATGTCCCGTCACGGGTTCATTGTTACCCCGTTGAAGGGAAATCGAAAAGGACTCGGTGGCTTTGACACAGTTCCTTTGACACAGTTGCTCTGACACGCTTGCTCTGACTCGGTTGGCTCTGACTCGATGGGTCTGACTCGATAGCTGAAGCTCGAAAGGTCACGTGGATGAAGAGAGCTCCTCCAAACTTACCACCAAGATCCTCAGGAACCAAAGTATATACGGACGAATTTCCTCAAACCAATCTCTTCCTCATTTGGACTAACCTCTCACTTTCCATCATCCGACCAGACCGTCGTGTCTCCCCTCTTCGCGATGCATCTCTGTGGCGTTGGTGGCTTCTCAATCAAACAAGAATCACGCCACGATGGAATGACCTTTCTTAATTGGAAGAAGGAGCTAAAAGATCGACGAGATGGTCAAAAGTTTCAGCGAGAAGATGGCATGATGACTTGAGACCTGGGGAGGTTCAACGGAAGCTGCACTTCTCCCGCTGCCCCGCACTTGGGGTGAGACCTTTCTCTCTCATATTCAAGTCACCTGATTAGCTATCAGATCCTCTCTCTTTCCTATTCTCTGTAATCTCCATCTCCATACAGATGGTATTTCTTTATACTTGGCTAGGTTGAATTACCTTTCATCTCATATACTAGCGTCTCATGCGTTCTTCATCATTTGTCCCTTCTATATTTTCTTTAGCGAGGAGCTTTTTGACGTCACGTTTCAAACACATGTCTTGATGTCATGAAATTGAGAGCCCAGATGCCAATTCGCCCAATTTGGATCTGAAAGCCCATCGGCGTTTAAGCATACCCCTCTTTGGATTCATTCTCGGCGTTAAAGCATGTCACTACTGCTGTCGGAGGGGGTTGGAGGGACACTGTTACCAAAAAATGGCAGATGCAGGAGGTGCACTGTTCTCGCCCACAGGAGCATGAGGTCACTAAAATATGAAGACTGCTCCAGACTTTTCTCTGGGAATACCAATCAACATTCTGACATCAACAAAATTGCCGCTGACAGTCCTACACTACAAAAGAAATCCCCTTCCGCAACATGAGTGGTCGTGAAAGCTCTCCATCCAAGAAGCAAAAAACCGAACACTCATCCAAAATGGCATCAGCACCAGAGCAATTCGAGGGTTTCATGATTCACTCTAGTGAGAAATGGAGCGACTTCACCAAAGAAAAGGTATGATTTCTATCCTGCCAAGTCATCTCGTTCCGTTGCGTCAAGTGGAAAGAATGGATTCGGCTACACTCAATTTTTTTTTTCGTGGCTAGAGAAATACTAAGAACCGCTACTTTCAATTATCTCCATTGCAAGTTGGTCAATTTCAGAGTCTGACAACACCACAGTTTACGCCCAAGGTCTTCGAGGACAGCGATGTTGATATCGAGAGCGAATGCTGTGGCGTCTGCGGTTCCGACGTGCACACAATCACGGGAGGCTGGGGTGATCTCGCTGTTACACCTATCTGCGTTGGCCACGAGATCATTGGCAAAGTTCTAAGAGTTGGCCCAAATGTGAAGGGAATTAAGCCTGGAGACCGTGTTGGTGTGGGAGCTCAAGTGCAATCTTGCATGAAATGCCCGCAATGCAAGTCGGACAATGAGAACTATTGCCCACACATGGTTGGTGAGTGCCTTGTGACCATTCCGGTCGAGAAATTGCTAACATTGCAGACACCTACGGAGCACCTTACAATATCGGTGGAGCAGACAGTGGCAAACCGATGAAGGATAAGAATGGCAACCAAATTTGGGCTCAAGGAGGATACTCTTCCCACGCACGAGTCCACGAACAATTCGTCTTTCCCATTCCCGATAACATTCCCTCCTTCGAAGCTGGACCGATGATGTGTGCTGGTCTCACCACATACTCTCCACTTGTACGAGCGGGCACAGGACCAGGCAAGAAGGTTGCAATTGTTGGGATCGGCGGTCTCGGACACTTTGCCCTCCTGTGGGCGAAAGGCCTCGGAGCTGAAGTGTGGGCTCTGTCACACACCCCTGGCAAGAAGGAGGAAGCACTAAAGCTTGGTGCTGATCACTTTGTGTCTACCAAGGACAAGGACTGGGCCAAGCCCCTCGCTTTCAAGTTCAACTTCATCCTGAACTGTGCCGACATGACCAATGAATTTGATCTAAAGACATATATGAGCACTCTTGCCGTCAACGGTACCTTCCACAATGTTGGTCTCCCAGACAAGCCATTGCCCCAAATGATGGCTCAGGACTTCACATCCAATGGTAGCACGATCGGCGGTTCCCATATTGGAAGCAAGAAGGAGGCTTTGGCGATGTTGAAGCTCGCCAGCGAGAAAGGTCTTCATCCGATGATTGAGCAGATTGAAATCTCGGAGACAGGCTGCAAAAAGGCTGTTGAAAAGGTGAAGAAGAATGATGTTCGGTATCGTGTTACGTTAGTTGGCTTCCAAAAGGCGTTCCACACGAAGTAGACGGGGTCTATGTCACTCATGCGAGGGAAGTCATAAGTGTACGATTATCACGTGTTTCGGCATTGTTACATAGAGACATAGATCATATGAATAGACCTTCAACCTGATTTTTCACCTTGCTCAGTGATGACCAAGATAATAAGCCTCGCAATGGGGTACGTGCTACCTCTGCTACGGATTTAGTAGAATTCCTCGGTGTAGTTCCCAAGCGTCCGGACTGGAACGCCTCCTTCCAATTTCTCTAAAATTAAATCAGTTGGTTCATCTTTGACAGCAATGTTAAAATCGCCTCGAAGTTTGCATCTTGCTTAGAATTTTCAAATCAAAGACCAGCCCAGAAGCACTCCATCATGAAGCTATCTCCAACTTCGAGGCATAAAGTACGATTGCACGTGTCAGTGGCTGATCCAGGCCACAGCCACACACCCCGCCGATCTTCGCCCAACCCCTGCAGCTATGACGCAGGCATCCGCAAAACGACATCATTCCCCTCAACGCTCTTGGGCCCGACTTCAAAACTTCACCAAGGTCCCGTACCAAGCAAAAACTAGCCCTCGAAACAACGAATCATCTATTCGAAACCAAAGGGAGAAGAGCACAGCTAAATAATGGTGCCTTTTCTAGACTGCCGGGCGGCTCCGCAAGCCTACAGTGCTTTTCGGGGGCTTTCGTCATGCAACACACGAGTCCACCATTGAGATCGGGATCGAGGCGAGGACCCTGAATCCAAGCCTCAATCGAAGCTAAACGTCCCAATAAGGTACTGAGAACGTTGGCCGATGGTGAACTAGGCAGGCCTGCCGACTAGTTTTTGCAGCTAAATTCCCTGCTCTGAGTGGATGGTGATGTGATGCCAATGCTCTGCCCTGTTGCTGCTCCCCGCTGAGTGATCACCACCTAGTCCGCATCTCAACCTGCCTTCATAAACTCGTGCTTCCCCACGTAGGACATCCTGTTTATCCGTCTAAAGTGTCGGCGAACAACAAACAATATCCCCAATTCTATTACACATACTCAACGACCGGCAACATGGCTTTCGGAGGCGTCGCCCTGAAGACCCTCTCCCTTGTCCTTCGCTTCATCGAATTCTGCTGCGCTGCAATTATCATCGGCATCTTCTCCTATTTCCTCGCAACGCTGCACAACCATGGTCTGCACATTGACACTTACATCCGAGCCGTAGAAGGCATATCCGGAGCTGGCGTCCTGTACACCATCTTCGCACTACTGCTAGTGTGCTGCCTCGGTGGCATTACGTTTTTCAGCCTCTTGGGCATGTTGCTTGATCTTGCCTTCTGCGGAGCTTTCATCTATGTGGCATATGCTACCCGCGGCGGTGATGGCAGCTGTCGAGGATACGTCAACACTCCTTTCGGAAGCGGAAACACCAATATCGACAACACTGTTCCGCAAGGCAATGGTGGATTCACAAGATTGCCAAGTCTGCACACAGCTTGCCGATTGGAAACTGCCTGCTTTGCAGTTGCCATTGTTGCTGCGTAAGTCCAACCTTTTGCTGGTCAAGATGACCAATGCTGACCGTCGAACAGTGTTTTCTTCTTTTTCTCAATCTTCGTCGAGTACGGCCTCATCCGCCACCGCAAGAAGGAGCGTGCCTTCGGCCCCTCCCCCAACAACGGCTACACAGCCGGCACCCCCAAGCGCAAGTTCTGGCAGCGCAAGCAAAAGCGCAACGCCATGTACGAGAAGAATGCCGACACCCTCCCCACCCACACCACACCTGCGGACATCAGAAATTCATACGCCACGGATACAACTGCCGTTGGCGGCGCGGGCGAGGTTCCGGTGAACAAGTATGGCAATGCCGCGCCGTATGCAGGCCAGACGGGTGGTGTCACGGCTAGCAATGGGTGGCAGACTACGACTACCACTCACACCGGAGCGCCGGCCAATGATGGATATGTCAGGACCCACCAGCCTTACAACAACAATCCCACAGGGACTTTCTAAGCTAGTCTGAATGAATTTGAGAGTGAGAGGTATTGGAGCTCGTTCTCACGTCGGAGAATCCCCACGTTGGAGAATGGGAAGCGTTGATTTGGAAAAGGAGGTAGCGAATGGAACTCTGTATTGTATATATCATGATACCACGACATCTAAGCAGAACCTAATATTTAATACACTTGTATACTATGTTAAGGTTGCCCTGCTTCCCTTCTAACTTGGTTCTCTTCTAGAGAAGTGGGGCAGCTCGGCAAAATCCCACACGGAAAAGGACTTCCTCTGTGCTACAATAAACTAAACTCTTCCCCTCAACATACTAATGCATAAATTGCAAAAATAAAAATAATCCATTGTTTCTGGTCACTACGAGGGTCGAACTCGCGACCTTGGCGTTATTAGCACCCTGGAGTTTCATTAGTCGTTGAACAGATGTGTGCGAGTTTTCGTGAACATACACGCTCTAACCAACTGAGCTAACTATGAGGATGTTAGAATATGGCTTCTCCAAGGTAAACGAAGCAACTTACGCGACCCTTGAAATCGATTGGATGGCACGAAAGCAGCTTATTTGATGATATGAATGGGTGATGAATGGCGAGGAAAATTTCAAAGGCTTTGAGTGGAGAAGTGGGAGTGGGTCGTGTGGTGACTTTTGCTGGGTGGCTGGCGAATCATGGCAGGCGTAAGGCGGTAGGCAGAATTTCGGGAACGAGGGCAGTTAAGACAAATAATCAAATGAGAACTTTTGATATCTATTTCGGAATCGAGAAGCTGGGTATACTACTGTACACTTGTATAATTACACAACAAAATTGACCGTCTTCCCACCCTTCACCACAATCACTTTCTTCGCCTTCCTGATATCGCTCAGGGGCTTGCCTTTCTCAGATCCGCCACTCAGCTTTCTCTTCCCTTCATCCGTGCCCAGAATCTCCTTTACAATCCACTCCTCCAGTTCATTACCGTTCAGACCCGCTGGAAGGGTGGGAATCTGAACCACGAGACGCAACCGCCCATTGACCTGCACAGCACAAGACTGCGTGCTAGGAGCCAGCATCTCGAATGTGCCATCCGTGGTCGGGAACGGCTGATCGAAAATGGATCCTCCATACTCGTCCGACTTGGGGAAAACCAGCGTATGTGGTCTGAGGCGGTTCACCAGATTGCCAAGCATTACTATTAGAGCATTGGGCGGGCGTGGGTGAAGCATGGTCCAGCACTCTTCCGCAAAGGCAGGTGTGATGGGGGCCATCATCTTCAGCAGTTCCAGGACTGAGTGATAAGTTATGAACTTATCTGTGCGCCAATCGTGTACCTCGTCGTCCTTGATGATGAAGTTGCTGTGGTCTATAATGGTGTTCGTGAGTGCCATTAGGTCGGACACAACAGTGTTAAGTGAGTGCGTTTTCCCATATGACTCAGTGACGTTGCTAATCGTCGACTGGACTGCTCGCCAGAGCTTCTTGTCTTCGTTGAAAAGCTTGGGCGCCACGTCTTTCATCTTGTCTGTGACATCCACTAGCTTTCTGCTGTGGCGGCTCATTGTCGCAGCTCTTAGGCTTGAATTCTTTCTCATATTTGACATCCCTTCCTCCATCTCGTGACGTCTGATGAAGCGGCTTTTAGGTAGGCCTTCTCCGTAAGTTGCGACCATCGCCCAGTCTTGGCGATCCTGGCTAATGAATTCATAGAGTCGACGCAACCAACGAGTTACCCCTGAGATTTTCTCTTCATCCCAATCCAGCACTTCGCTGACCGGAGCTTGGAAGAGAATATGGGCTCTAGTAGCATCAGCACCATACTTCGCCATGCATGTGCCGGGATCTACCCCATTGTACTTTGATTTCGACATCTTCTCGTAGCTGACATGTGGCTTCTTTCCCGAGGCAATGACCAAGGGATTCGAAGGGTCTGTCAGATCTACCTCATCCGGCTTGAGGAAGCGACCAGTTGCAGGATCGGCGAATGTCTTTCCATGGACCATGCCCTGAGTTAGGACTTCCTTGAAAGGTTCCCCAGCAGATTTCCTGCCGTCTGGCCAGAGAGATGTTGTTGCCACAAATTTGGAAATGAAACGAGAATAAAGCAGATGCAGGATTGCATGCTCCACGCCACCGATGTAAAGATCGACGGGGAGGTTGGCATTTGCAGCCTCAGCAGAAAATGGTGCCACTTGGTTTTTTGGGTCTGGGAATCTCATGAAGTACCAGCTCGAATCCACAAAAGTATCCATCGTATCGGTGTCTCTCTTAGCGGGTCCCCTGCAAGATGGACAGGAAGTATTGACCCAGTCATGAGCATGCTCCAGGGGATTGCCCGCCTTTCCTCTGCCCCAGTGCTCATTTACGGGAGGCAGTTCAACTGGTAGCTGATCTTCGGGAACAGGCACAGCGCCACATTTTCCGCAGTGTATGATGGGAATGGGAGTACCCCAGTAACGTTGACGACTGATCAGCCAATCTCGAAGACGCCAAGTCTCTGCTTTGGAACCGAGGCCTTTTGACTCCAGCAGGGCGACAATTTTCTCGGTGGCTTCCGCTGTGGTCTGCCCAGCATACGGACCGCTGTGCTTTGTGAGATGACCATGATGCACGAAAGGCTCACTGCTCAGAGTGGTGGTAGCCTCGTCCGGTGATTGAGATATGACAAATCTGACAGGGTCATCATATCGATTGTGCTTCCAGAAAGTGTGGTCTCTGGTATCATGTCCGGGAACGCCCATAACAGCTCCGTCTCCGTAGTCGCCCAGAACATAAGGTGCAACATAAATGGGCAATGATGCTTTAGCTGTATCTGGCGTGGAGTCCTCGTATGACAGGGGGTTCAGGGCTCGCACATGGGGTAGGATATACCCGACCTTTGAGTCCGCGGGCAAGGCAGGAATTGTGTTCAGGAAAGCTTGTAACTCTACGTCTGTCTTTGCCAAACTTTGAACAATTGGATGCGTCGAGGCAAGAGCAACATATTGTACTCCAAATATGGTATCTGGCCGAGTTGTAAACACCTCGATGTCCGAATGGGTCTGCTGGTCATATGCCACAACCGGGAACTTGATTCGAGCCCCAGTGGACTTTCCAATCCAATTCTTCTGCATTGCTAGAACTCTTTCGGGCCACTCTCCGTTCTGCGCTAAGCCATCGAGGCCATCCAATAGCTCCTGTCTGAACTCCGATATGTCCAAAAACCACTGCTTCAACATTCTTTGCTCGACTTTGGCTCCAGATCTCCATGAGAATCCATTGGCGTCCACCTGCTCGTTTGCTAGGACCGTCTTGTCCACAGGGTCGTAGTTTACTAATGACTCTGCCTGGTATGCAAGGCCAGCTTTGTGAAGCAGGAGGAAGAGATGCTGAGTATGCTTGTAGAAGCTGGGATCGCAGGTCGCGAATTCCTGTTGCAAGTCAGACATACTCTGCCCAAGAACGTGGCATACGCACTCGGTTCCAGTCCCAGTGTCCATTCATAGCTTGTAATTGTGATTTCATTCTCTTGATATTCGTTTTCGTCCAGGAAGCTGGATCAATGCCTCTCTCGATTGCAGCATTCTCTGCTGGCAGACCAAAGGCGTCCCATCCAATTGGATGCATAACATCATAGCCCTGCATACGCCGGAATCGTGCTATGACATCGGATATCGTGTAAACTCGTAGGTGACCAAGATGGAGGTCTCCTGACGGGTATGGAAACATGGGCAAGATGTACATCTTCTCTTTGCTCTTCACCACTTTCGCTTCTGTTGTGCCAAAGAAGCTGGGATGTTTGTTCCAGCTTTTCTGCAACCTTTGTAATTCCCATTCTCGTTGCCATTGCCGGTCAAGTGCCGGAAGATCGAGCTCGCGGGCGGGTTTGTGCTTTTGACTGATGAGCAACGAGAAAAGGCGTGTGCTACCGCCTCGAGTTCCCCCACACGCAGGTCGAGCCCACGCCCAACCAGCCTGCATGCCAATGGTCCTTTTCATCATCTCGTTGCCACATTGTGTGCTATGGCAATAGCTTCATATTCGAAGTGATGTTGGCGTTTAAGATCAGACGACGCGAGGCTGCACAAATTGTGAGTTGGAAGCTCCGAAGTGGACCGTGCATCATTTTGAGACAACGAAACTGTCTCCCAAGACAAAGAAAACACAACACCCTGGCTCCTGGCTCGACCTGCAAGCATCACTCCCGTCTTACTCTTCAGCATTTCGAGTCTTCGAGTACATAATCCTATATTTTCACCTACACGACCGTATAATTGTATAATACCTCACGACCGCGATGATCCAGCAGATGCCATAATAGATACGTCAGCCTCACGATCACGAATCACGACTCCTCCCGAAAAGAATGCGGATGCAATAGCAAGAACCGAAGAACACTATGTCGCGGCCGTATTCAAACCTCCAACCGCATGCGCGCGACTCTCTCGAGCTGGCCAGCTTGGCATCCAGCTCTCCCGGACCAAGAACATCCTCTTCCTCGACCTCGTCTCGATCCGGCATATCCTCATCTCGAAAGCTGTCCCTAGAAGAAGACGATCCCCTCGACGACCGAAATCCTGCCGCCGGCGGAAGACCAGGACCTCACAATCGATCCTTCTCTGTTTCCTCCACCTTCGACTTTGCTTCGAATCTCTTCCCCCTATCTTCCACGACTGGCAACGGCTATGCGCCGATAGGGGCTCCTATATCTGCATCGAATGGCCAGAATGCGTTGGGAGGTGGCTCACTGGAAAAGCACAAGACACTGACATACTTGAATGGGCTATCTCTCATTGTTGGTCTCATAATTGGGTCTGGAATCTTCTCGTCGCCGAGCCAGGTCAACGTCAATGCCGGATCGCCAGGGGCATCATTGATTGTATGGGCAATTGCCGGGCTGCTGGCATGGACTGGGGCAGCTAGTTATGCGGAGCTGGGTGGAGCAATACCGTTGAATGGTGGCGCGCAGATATACCTGTCTAAAATATTCGGCGAGCTTTTTGGCTTTCTCTTCACTTGGTGTGCGGTCATGGTCTTGAAGCCGGGATCTTCGGCCATCATATCTATCATCATGGGGGAATATCTGGTCCGGGCGGCAATCGGCGCAGAAGCAGAGAACGTCAGCCCATGGATCAACAAGTCGGTGGCGCTGGTTGGGCTTTTTGGGGTCACATTACTGAACTGCATATCCACGAAGTTAGGGACGAGGATGGGGGATATGTTTATGTTCTTCAAGTTTGTTGCACTGCTCGGCGTTACGGTCATTGGCATTGTGGTTGCGGTTACAGGATTTTCTGCATCGGGACAGGCGAATCAGGACTGGAAGACAATTGGATGGTTTGAAGGGACATCAACAAGTGCATCTTCTTGGGCCGTGGCGTTGTATGCTGGCCTCTGGGCCTTTGATGGATGGGATAATGTGAGTAAAATATCGCGAGTTACTGTTCTTAACTAACATCCACAGACAAATTATGTGGTTGGGGAGTTCCGGAACCCATCTCGGGACCTTCCGCGAGTTATCCA